AAGAGCACTTATTGTATCAATATTTTATATTATATTGACAATATATAATACCCAAAGCCTCAAACATTAAATCCAAATCCAAAGTTAATTTTAAAATTTTAAATGAATTAAATTTGTTTTCAAAATTGGGTTTAACACTTGCTCTAATTTAAAATTTGAGAAAAATGCCCCTCATTGTATAAAAACTACAAAATATGATCTAAATCTAAAAGATGAAAAAATTTTGAAAAATTAGTTAAAAATAAGTTTTTATAGCCAAAAATGCTTAATAAAATTAGAATATTCCGCATCAAGGGAGCATGAAACAAATTTTTAGCTAGGATAGTATTATTTAGAATCAAAGTAAAAAAAATTCAAAAGTTATCAACATCCYAACTCTAGTTATTACTTTATTAGTATGATTACATATTAGTCACAAAACGTTTTAAAAACTCACTCAACTTAAAATTTGTCACTACACACACACAGCGATCTYTCCTCTGATGGATACAGAATATTGGCCGAATATACCTTATAAAATTGTAAGTTTACTTAAATAATAGTAATATAAAATATTTCTTGCCGTATTGGCTGMTAGACTTTCTTTGCGGGGAATTTTTTYTTCATATTTACGCAATAAGAATCCTTATTCGTTTCTGTGACCCACACAAAGTTCAATGTACAGCAGAGCGATACTCACTTGCCCGATTTATTTTCTTTTGTAATATTAAATAGATATTTTTTAGATGCTTAATATTTAAATATAATCATAATTTATGTGTTATAACCCATGTGAAACTTCTGTATCTAAGTGTTAATGAAATAAAAAAAAAGGTGTACTCGCATGTCACACATACATTATAAATAAAATAATTTTTAATGAGAAAATTATTATGATAATGTATTAGGTGAGATTATCACACTGTTATTTCCTAGTCCGAATTTTATTAGCCAATTAGTCTTGGTATAATTGTTACTAGGTCATAATATGGCTTCTGATGTATATTATCGCAAAGTTGGATAGCAGCTAATAAATAATATCCATTTCCAGTTTTGACTATTATTGTCTGTTGATGCTGATCATATTTGTGTGTTATTCTATTGCTATGAGCATAGCGGTGGTTGGTATTAATTATGTAGTCGCAGAAAGAAACATTCGTAAGTTTACTAGCAGATACTATCAAACATAACATAAATCTAAATTCTAAGCCGATTGGTGTATGAAATTAATAAACATTAGAGTATTGAATCTATAATTAGAAGTATTTAAGTAAGTATATAATATATTCATCGAAATGTCAAATGCAATGTATTTATTTTTTAAGAGATATACCWATGTGAATAATTTTTGTATTCAATTTATTGAGCACTGTAATATTGAGTTTACAAATAGCATTTAAACAATGTCAGGTGTCGCCTCATATTTGTTTTCACTTTCTCTCTTTAACCAACCAATAACTTAGTAAATTTGCATTTAGTAGAATCAATATTGTGTTGCTACTTAGCTTATTAGAATTCATTGAATTACTGTGTATGTCAACTTTTATAAAATATTTCAGATATTATGTAAATTAATAGTATAATATTATACTTCAAGTGCTTATATATTGCAATAAAAAACAATAGTCAAAGTAGAACCAATGTACCGAGACGTTTTTTTWAAACTTAATAAGTTTGATAATAGATCAATTCACTTTTATATTAAAGATGACAACACAAGATTAGTTATGTTGAACACATATTTGTTTGTTGCACGATGTGATTTAGAGAAAAAACAACAAATAGTGGTCAGCATTCTATGATATATACTATTCCTAGTTTGATGAAATCCTTAATTTACTTATCAGTTTGTTGTATAATATGTAGTTTCCATTTGGAGTAAAATTTATAAATAAAATACAGATGCTTATATGTGATGGAACATGGAAATATTATTGTCAATTTTCACAAAGAATTTTCATTTTTACTACAGATTTACCATAGGATAAGTTGTGAAAGCAAGAATAAAAAATAAATGTTGAGATCAATCACAGGTCTGTTTTCTAATTTTGGTTCATATGTTTAATTTGTAGTTCAGCTACATTTAATTTTAAAAGTAAGTTTAGTGTCTAACAATAAAAAACTGTAACACATTTTTATGCCTAAAGTATGTATTTAAAAGAATAAATATATATAGTTATTATTATTACACCTTTTACAATATTGAATATACCAATAAAAAAATATAGTCAGTTATTTAGTATGAAATTGTGCAATTAAATACTTAGCATTAATATATTAGCAATGTGGGTCATGAATAACTCAATATGGACAAGTTGTTAAATATTAAGTGGAGCTGTGATGATATTAAGATCTTGATCCACACTGTTACCAGACTCTTCAATTCCATTATTCGGATTTACTTCTGTTACTTGGTCATCAACCCTAAATTAAAAAAATTAAACACATAAGTACAAAAAAAAAATGCTAAGTATATACACCACACCATGGTCAAGCTGATAAATGATAATTTACACATATCTGGAACTTGGTAATAACTTCGGGAATTTAATGTACCTATATTAATATTAGGTATATTAAGTTGTAACTGTTGATATAGCAGTGCTTCTTAATCTTTTTCACACTATAAACCCCCYAAGAAGCAAAATATTTTTCATATTCTCCTTCATTGAAATGAAAATAAAAATAGTATACATGAAATGTTTATAGTTTAATAATTAATAATATATATTATTTAATGAAAAAGTATATGTTTGAATATAATTTGAGAGGATAAATAAAATGTTTTGATCAGTGAGATACTGAGATGGTTGTGCTTGATGATTCATAGCCAATTTTTCAGCGTTTGGTTCAAAATTTGTGAGATGAAAGCGTAAATCTTCTCTTTTGATGATATCGAGTCGATTTCTTTCTTTTGTTATTAGATCTGTGACTGCACTGAATTCTAGCTCAATGAGGTAAGAGAAAGGGAAGGCGATTAATAATTATTGTACTACACTCCACAGTCTAGGATAGATTTTACTGATAACAGACTGGAGCCAAAATTCGGTGAGGTGTTCACCATTCTTAAAACTTGCTCTTAACATCTTGTTAGTGGAAATTTCGATCAATTCTTCTTGTTACTGTATTTTTGCTGATTGAATATATACAAAGGGATTTAAGACCCATTGAGGAACTTCCAGGTATTCCAATATTTTCAAAACGTTGTGAAAATCCTTATCCAAAGACCAAAGGTGTTGACAGTAAATTTGTGTGTCATCAAACGAGACTTTACTGTTCTTGTATACATCCAATAAGACTGGAAACTGGCTAAACTCATTGCAACCAAAATTCTTCTTCCATAAAGTCAGTTTTTTTTTGGAAGATAAAAATAATTAATTCAGATGTTATGAGTTTGAGCTCGTTGTCTTGAAATGGCAAATTGATGTCATCAAATTTTATGAATAAATTAAGCGAATAAGCGATATTACCTCCTTCTTGCCCAAAACGAGCTCACCGCCCTTCAGTAATTCTTCACAGTCCACCGGGGGGGGGGCGATTATCACTACAGGGTGATTCTTTTATCAAACAACACTCATTAGTTAAAAAAGTATTGACTTTTTTCAAAATATTTTTTTACGTAGTTTCAAGTTGTTAAAAAACCAATGCTTTTATTAAAAAATTATATTTTTAAATATTTTTTATCCTTATCATTTTTTAAGTTTTTTACTTTTTTGAATGGCAACATAGTTTTTTAATTTCATATTCCAAAGCAGAATATTTTTCTAAAAATGTTGATAGATAAAAATCGAATTTAGGACGAGTATAGTTTATGAGTTATAAGTATTTAAAGTTTAGACAAGCGGAGTAGTGGACAAACATTTTGCGGGGTAAATCTAAACTTTAAATACCTATAACTCATAAACTACTAGCACTAAATTCAAAATTTTATTGTAATAATTAATAAAAAAAATAGCTTCATTAATTTATGAAATGTTAAGTATAGGTTACCATTTGAAAATCAAAAGTTGCTAGTGGTTTATCTAATAAATATAAGGGTGAAAAAAAAAAATAAATAAACAATTCAAGAAGAGTGTAAATCTACAATTTTGAAGAAAAAAAAAAATTTGAAAAAAATCAATATGTTTATAAATAATGAGTGTTGTTTGATAAAAGAATCACCCTGTATAACAGTTATAGTAACTAAATGTATCAGAAATATTTAAGTGATTAAATTATTTAATGAATCACATTGTATCAACATTTTARGATTTTATTAAATTATCTGTTATGCGTGTTATTGTATTTATAAATTATGTAAGTTATAAACATTTTCAAAAATGGTTTCAAACCTGATTATAATAAAAATAGAATAATCATAATTTGTATTTTAAAGGCTAAACTAATATAGTGCTCAATTTTCCTCAATTGTTTCCTTAATCTCATTTGGTAAATTCAAAATTGCCTATTCCATACTCTATGCACATTCAAAAGAGAAATTAGGCATAACACCAAATTAATGAAATAATAGCAAATAGTTAACTAAGCAGTTATGCTACTGCAAAATATAAAAATAATATCACAAGATACATGTAAATTTTATAAGCTAAGGGAAAAGTATTTTGCAAGTAATAAACATGATATCTGCAAAGAAGAGGTTGACGGCTTTACATCTCAAAGTGGTAACCCTAAATATAGCTCTAATAATAGGCTTGAAATTTTAAATTTTAAATTAAATTTGGTTATATCTCTTTTTTCAAACAATGAATTTTATAAAAAGCTATACAATATTCTGTGTTTACTTTTACAGGATAGCAGCGAGCGGCGACCATATTATTGGTTAATAATTAAATTAACGTTTTAACCTAAAACTAGTGAGTTATAAGAAGTTAATAACAAATATTCACACATGAGTATTTGATAACAATATGGTTTGGTATTGGTGTATATACTGTATATTTGTGAATAAAATATTTAGGTAGGTATACAAAATTATTTATTATTTATTATTTATTATTTATTAATTAATTAATTGATATTTACAAATCAACTCCATGATAGTTCTCCGCATTATCAGGCAACTCTTGGTCTTGTACAATCTAGTAGAAATAATACAATTAATTTTCATAAAAATTTAAAATTTATAAATGATTAAGAGGATGTGATACGCCTGCATGTGTTGTTTCGGTTTTACAAGTGCATAACATAGCAAATTTTACGCTCAACAGAATATGTGTAGCTCTGTTAGTATAMGATTTAGATTTTAGAGTGAATTTACCTTTAATAAAATTTAAAAGTTAGATTATTATCTAGACAACCTTATGGCTTTTTATAATATTTTAATTTTGTAGCAAGTTAATGAGTATTTTAAAATATTGTAAATAGTATTAAAATATTACATCTAAAATACTTATAACTTGCTTCAAAATTAAAATATGACAAAAAGTTTACGAGGTTGTCTAGATAATAATCTTACCTTAGCATTTTATTAGAGATCAATTCACTCTAAATTTTAAATCAACAGAGCTACAAGTGTTCTGCATAAAATTTGCTATTTTACACATTTGTAAGACGGAGACAATACATGCAKGTATCACGTCTTTAAACTTACTTCACCCATAGTGTCGTGATGTTTGTGAGCATCATGCCGTCCATGTTTTGGCTCATCACTGTTTTGTGTTGATCTGTAAAAATTATGAATAACAGTTTAAACATATTTTAAAAACTTATACAAAATGTAGCTTATTAAAAAAAAACAAAGTTAGCATTATAATGGGTACCCATTAAAATCCTGACTATTGTTRGATGCTTATATACAGTGAATAAAAAATATAGGTAATAGATACTRACGAATCAACCCCATGATTGTTCTTCACATTATCAAGTATTCCTTGTCCTTTTACAATCTAATAGAAATAATATTATTAATTTCTATAAATATTTAAAATTTMAAATTATTAATCTAAACTCACTTCACCCATTGTATCATGATGTTTGTGAGCATCATGCCGTCCATGTTTATCYTCATCTTTTTTTTGTGGTGATCTGTAAAAATTATATATAACAATTGGAAAATTTTTATGACAATTTGTACAAAATGTAGCTTATTAAGAAAAAAAACAATAAAATTGTCATGGATGTCTATTAAAATCTCGATCATGGTTGGGTGGCAGGTGTATACAGTGAATAAAAAATGTAGGTAGGTACTAGGTATACAAACTAAATAAATACTAACAAATCAACTCCATGATTGTTCTTCACATTAACAGGTAGCCCTTGGTCTTGTACAATCTAAAAGAAATAATAAAATCAATTTTCATAAATACCTATTTAAAAATTATAGATAAATTATTAAACTAAACTCACTTCACCCATTGTGTCATGATATTTGTGAGCATCATGCCGTCCATGCTTTGCCTCATCTTTGTTTAGTGCTGATCTGTAAAAATTATAAATAACAATTAATTAAAAAAAAAAAACAATGTGTAATAATAAGCATTGTATTCAGTTTTGTATTCAGTTGAAGTAATAAATTCACAAATGTCAAAGGAATTATATCAAAATGAAAAATAGTGTATAAAACCAGTAACACCCTGCAGCAAAGTAAAGATAAATGCATATAATAAATAATAATAAAAGACATAATTTTAATTCTAGTGTGAAATGTATACATAATTTAATCAAAAAATATTTGAAATCAATCATTTAAAAGGTCTTGTACTCATTTTTTAAACTTTTTTATTGGATAGGTTAATGTTACAAGGTGCCGTATAGTATAAATGGATAGTAGTATAATAGTACTAAGCTTAGAACTTAATAAAATGGAAAAATGTTCGACGAGAAAATGGCCGCCGACTTACCACACGAAAAGACAATAATACAAATAATAATTATTATGATATTATTAATATTATTATTACATAATAATATTATAAATTATAATAAAACATCAATCGCGTAACGAACATACTATACACGTATGTAATAAATAAGGACATTTTGTACAACTCACTCGTCTTTTTTACAGTCTAAGTTCATGTTGCGATGCTTCCTGTTGACTTTTCAGAAAAAAATTGGCAAACGGATATCAATGTWATTTGAATTTAAATCGTTTCGTAAAGACCGTAAACGTTCTATCGGCTGCCTGATTTGTTGTTGCGTTTTTAGGTKTTCMAATATTTTGTCAACGGCGACGTCTGTTGTTTTCGGTTTGGCTGCACTTTGTTATTGTCATCTCATCGACGCTTCTTGTTTACGACGAGAGCCGAGCGCGGAGGGTAACGACGGCGCGCGCTGACCTTGAACGCGCGTTTCGTACCCACCTCACCGACCCACCCATTCGAGTACCTACTACCTGCTGGCTGCAGTTTATAAACTTTGTAGTGTTTGATTTTCAAATTTTTACCCTAGTAGTCTAGTCCCYRATCCGTCGGCCCCCCAACCAACCATCACTGGTCTCGTACACCATAAGTCGTAGTTAAATGGTGAAACAATTTGAGGAAATTAAAATTTTGAATTTCACAGGTGAGATACACGGTTATTGGTACACGTGTGACGTAAACAGAGCTGTATAGACATAATATATTGGAATTATTTTTGTAACATTGTAAATGTTCAAGTTCGGAATAAATGTGGGCATTTTATTCACGCGTGGTAATAAAAAAAATTCAACCACTAAATACGAGAATGTTGCAAGCCGTAGCTGTCGGGAAAAAGAGAATTTCCAACAAAATTCGATGATTCTATAAATATTAATAATAGTACAATTTTCGACAATTCTTAAACAGCGGTTTTATTGTTATTCGTGTTTATTACACTTACACGCCTAATGATGTGATCATGGGCTTCCATTGGGGGGCAAGATAGGGCACTTGCCCCCCCCCCTGGACAAAAAATAATATGAATCAACTGTACCTATATATATATATATATACAATACATATATGACATGCTTTTTTACATTCATATGTGAAAATAACATTAAATCTTTACTATCTTACATTTGAGATTTTTTTTTGACCCTCCTTAAAATGTTACCTATGGCCTATGGGCGCCCATGGATGTGATCATGCATCTGCGAGCTGCTGATCTGCACCWGGACTGTCTGTAGCCCGAGACAAAGACGTGTAGACATTATAAATATTATAAGTACCTACTCGGAAAACGGGATGCAATTTTCATGGAAAAAAACGTTACTTTATTTTGTACAACATTCCAGTTTCTCCCCGCGGAAAACGCCCAAATAATTGGGGCCCAATAATTCGGGGGTAAGGCCTGTGCGTGTAGGACGTTGGTACTTTGTGCGTTTGGTACTCAACCGCCGGGGTGCCAGCTATCTGATATTTTCTTGTCGGTCCCGTCAACAACCTGCCCACTCCTCCGTTGTACCTTGTACCACAACGCAACCACCATTGAGCGGTTTGTTCATTTAAAGATCGTTCGCATTTCAGACTCGCCCAAACGCCGGTCATTTACAGTTTTTGTTTTCACCTCTTGCAGTCTGGCATGTTGTGGATTTCGCTGTTTCGAAGCCTGCAAAATTTCAAAATTTTTAACTATAGCCAAGAACAATATTTTTTGCCCCCTTTCGAGTTCCGGTCGGTTTTTTGTCTTTTTAAATCGTGTTCACGCCTTAAGGTTTTATTTACGTCATAGACCGTTTGACCTACGACGATGGAGTTTAATTTCAACATCGAAAACGTGGTCACCGAAGAGGTGCTGAAGATAAGCCACACACTAACGGTCCATGGACATGAGGAAAACGACGAGTGAGTACCTATCTGACTACCCACGTTAAAGGCGCGACTAGGGAAATTTTTCTGGGAGGGCTACAATATTTTATTGGCAGCACAAATCTCAACAATAGAGCTTGTAAATTAAAATATTGGGTAGAAACTTTGGTTAAAACTGTATGGAGGGGGGGGGCTAAAAAATATTAAAAATTAGTTTGGAATTTATATTTATAGGATGATTAGATAAATAGATTTCAATTTACTTTTTTTCACCCCATGTAGAATTCTTTTGATATGATTCAGATGTTATGATTATAGAAGCATACAAATTTAATCGTGCCACAGTAAACATTTAAATGTTGCTGTTATGGTTTTCATCATAATATTATATTATTATTTAATTATTATGTATTATATAAAATTAACATTGTATGCATTTGTGTTTTTACAGTTTGAAAAACATAATGAGAATGATCATTGACGAAATGGGTAAAGCATCAGCTGTATCTCAGGAGTTAAAAGTGCCAATAACCAGTGCCAATAGACTTGTTAATTCTGATCATGTAATTTATATGATGACTGAACACAATAAGCCAGGGTATGTTATATACATTTATATGATATTAGTATATTACCTACCTTCTTTTTGGTTAATTTATTTGTTTTAACAAAAATTACTGTATTTGTATTTTATTACCTATCTAGTCATTTTGCTGTTGTTGGATTTTTGAAKATGGGGTGGAAAAAATTGTTTCTCTACAACAAACAAGCTTCAAGGTCAGAAGCCAGGGTCTACTGTTTATTAGATTTTTACATCCATGAAAGCAGACAGCGTAAAGGTTATGGAATACGTTTAATTCAATGCATGTTACAGGTATAATAATTCTTCTTATAATGTTATTTCAACATTATTCTATTTAAAAATAACAATTAAACATTTTTAGGATATTGGTTTAGAAGCCAAACATTTAGMTATTGACAAACCAACCAAAAAACTATTACAGTTTATGTGGAAGCATTTTCAATTATCTAAATTGGTAAACCAGGGAAACAATTTTGTTATCTTCGAAGAATTTTTCCACACTACATGTATGAATTTAAAAACTTTAAAAGCTGTATGTTTTTTACTATTAATTAAAATTTTGTTTTATAGCAATTGAAGAGGAAAAAAGTAATCATAATAATGCTGGAATTCGGTATGAATGTTATTTAAATAATTAAATTAAAGAACTTAAAATATTTTCTAAAAATCTAATGTATTATTTATATAGAGCTGAAGCTTATAAGAGTCAACCAATGTTCGGACGGCATGGAGCTCATAAACATCATGATTCAATGGCTGAAGTAAGTTTTAATATTATTTATAGTTCAGTTACTAATAATACTTATACATTGTTATTGCTTATACTTTATAGATTATACAAGGTGAAGGCAATGCTGCATTTGTTAAGTTCAAGTACAACCAAGACACTGACTTGTAAGTATTTAATTATTTTGGTATTAAAAAGTTTTTAACTTAAATGTCTTTTGATTTTATAGTGTTGATAATCAATTCAAGGAAGTGAATCCAAATCCTGATAGTAAAGGTGCATTTAAGACTGACAAGGGCGGATACTCAGAAAAACGAGATCTGAAATTCCATCACAATTCTCTGTGGTAACTTAAAATCTTACCTTATCCATACAATCCTTACATCCCCATCAACACTTTCTTCTAATGCACTAAAATCACTACCAACTTTACATTTAAAATTGTACGAACATTAACTAAAACTAATTTATGTTTATTCTTTATAATAGTATAATATTGTAATTGTCTTACAGAATGTAGTTGTTCCACTTTTAAAGTTTTTCATTTTTAATAGAGCATATTTTTATTTTTATTTTGTATTATGACTTCTTTTGTAGCATATAGTAAAAAGTTCAAATACTTGTATAAATAAATATGTTAGATTATTATTTATTTTTACTGTCAACATTTTGTATTATTACTGTATTATTTTACTGTCAACATTTTGTATTATTACTGTATTACTCCTCGTCTCCACCAAACCCTAAAATGTTAAGATTAAGTATTCAGTACCTTATATGGTATTTAGTTTCTATGGGGTATAAACCATATTTGTAAAGTTTATTTTTGAGCATGAAACTGGACTGTATTATTTTGTTTACATGACTAATATCAATATATCATTGACTATAAATACTAGTATTATTAGTATTTACTATTTAGTATTTATGGTCAATGGTAATTTAAAGTAATGGTTATGGTTTCTGTAGAAATATATTATGCATTCATACCATAGGTAGGTACTATTAGTATAACTACAGAGTGTTTGGTGTGACAAAGCATATCCTGATACCAAAAAAAAAAAAAAAAATAAATAAATAAATAACAATAAAATTATTAATATTGAAGTCCAAATTTTAAATTACTGAATAAATACTATCATTTATGTATATGTAGACGAATTGACACTGGTAAACATTTACATTAATTTTTAGAGTTTTGAGTAATCATATAATATTATCCCAGGTATACTCAAAACATTTTTAATATCCAAAGTGACAAAATATGTATTTTAAATAATAATATTTTTCAATTAAATGTATTGGAGACAAATATATTTGTGATGGTAAATTGGTAAAAAACAATCAAAAATATTTGGCAATTAAAAGAGTTAAAAGTCAAAACTCCAGATAGCAGAGCAAGAGTTTCTAGAATAATAAAACGTAAATTAATATCTGACATAATAATTGTATTTAAGATAAGGCAATTGAATCATCTACATCTGTTTAGTGTTTATAAATTGTAATTGATAAAAACTGATTTACTTTTAGTAAATTGGTACATCATAATTCATAAGATAACTACTAACATTAACATTTTTTATAAGAACTAGTATTTGTAAGTTTTATAATGTAATATTTTAAACATGAACGATGAACATGAGTTTTATATTCCTAAAAAGTAGCAAAAATAGTATTCTTTATACCTACATTATTTATTTAAAGGCAAATGTTATTTTTATGACATACTATTATCACAGATTAAATAAATGTTTTATTTAATCTGTGCTATTACTCAGAAGTGCTATGACTACCAAACCATTTATCATAAACTAGCAATACTGGGAACACGAGAGAGTTGGATAATAGGCTACACAGTACACAATAATATTATAAGTAGATAGTAAAAATTTAATATTATCATTGTATTAAACTTTCAAGGTTTTTATAACCGAACAATTTTTTTTATCGACAATATAGTAAAAAAGAAATTTTCTTAAGTTTATAGTAAAGAAATAGCTAAACTATTTTTAAAATTGTATGGTGTGGAGAAAATGCTATTATGAAATATTCAATGAAAAATGTATGTATCTATGGCTATTAGTTTTAGAGTTATAACAAAAATCTAAATCGAATTGTCGAAACATGCTACATAAAAATTTTCGTACCTAACCTTCCGATGCACTAGATTAGTAGATTACCTTTCCCATCAAAAAAGATACTTTAATAATCGGAAATCGAATTATTATTTCTACTACTAATCGTCAAAACATACAGTAGACACGAAAAAGAACATCATCGTTGTAAAATCAATGCTCGTGACTACTAACTCAATACCATTGATTATAGAATATTCTATAATCAATGCTAATACACTAAATACACTGCTACACTACTCTGTCCAGTGAGAGACACGACGCGACCAAGCAGAAATCGGTTCTTCTGCATACCTACTACCTAGGTAGGTACTTCACGCAATACGAACTACGAACTCGCCATAAATTATCATGGGACCGGTCTCAATAACAGGGTGTATAGCTTAGATCATATGTATATGATCTAAGGGGTGTAGCATGAGGATGGCCAGATTCGGAGTGTTCTATCGCTGAAGAGTGTGATAGGTAAGAGTTAGAATTTTCATAAATCTCAACGAAATAAGAACAAACATTTTCCAAACCTAATGGAAATCGTTTCGTCGTGTACAATAATTATTTGCATCTTAATTGATTTCCGTCAGGTTTATTTTTTCTTTTCCGTATTCATAACAGCCGGCCTGCTAGCGGTTAATATAGTTAGAATGTGCGTATGGACGTGCGTACCAACTACCGATGTACCATACGGGCTGTCCATACTGTGTGTCTGCGTGCCGATCTTTGAGCGTCTCCCGCAGGAACGCAGCGGTACCAAATAGGACTCATTCAAGGTCACGTTTACGACATCAACACACCGCCTCCACCCCTCAAAACCTCTTATAACCGACCGCCATTAATCATTAACCCTATAAGCAGTCGACACGAACAAGAATAAGTGACGACGTCGAAGGTTGGACTTTGGACAGTATGCGCGTACACTAGTTGCAACTTGCAGACGAGCAGACGTGTACCACTGCGGACTATAATAAATTGTGCATAATAATTAAACAGTTTTTTGTTTTCATTAGGTAACCTACCTGCTTACTATAATATACTTTTCGATTTTTGCTGTCGGTGTAACTCGTTCGCAAACAATAATAGTAAAACATTTGAAGATCGTATCGATATAATTATTGTATCATATTATAATGGAGTTCAACAACTACCCCGACGTGGTGGCGAAGAAGACTACAGACCGTTATACGCCGCCAACAGCCGATGATGAGGGACGTGTGGATGTCGGCGAGTGAGTTACTCGTTATATTGTTATCATTATAACGCGTTTTTAATAATAATATTTTAGTCGAATTTCAAGTAATGCAGTGTTTGCAAGAGGCAAGACGTACACCCTATTTGAAAATAAATAAATAATTATCGTGACGGTTTTAGGCAAAGGAATCTATAAAATTGTCATAATTTATGTCTGAACGAATCAATGCGATTTTAAATTTTTTTCAAAAAAACTATTAGTACGATTTATTTCACCCGTTTCCCAAAAAAAAAAAAACTTTTATGAACTATGTAGCAGGGATGGCGCTAAGATTTGCGGAGCCCCGGGCAAAATAAATAACAGTCACATTACATATTATCCAAACTAACTAATCTTTGAACAGTAAAAATATAATTTAAGAACTGCGGGGCCTTAATTACAATTTTAAAATCGCGGGGCCCGGGGCAAATGCCCTGATTGCCCCCTTCGCGGCACCGTCCCTGCAATATAGCAGGAAAARACGAATTTTTTAATGTTTAGTTCGTCGAACACCACTAAACGGCTGCAGCTGACAAAGTGACTATAATACACCTTATAATGTTTTCGAGTAGAATTTTCATTATTACAGTTACTGTCAGTTTTCCTACTTATATTCTGATTGCCCGACATCATAATTTATATACAATAATTAGAGTAATTATGTTTTTTTTCTTCAATTATTAGGTGTTGCTGCCCGTGAATTTCTATTTTTGTTACATTGTCGCCTTTTTCTTTTAKGACATCTTAGACTTATGTGTACTAAATTATACGTCAATGTAAATTACAAATTTTTTGGAAAAATCTTTTGTGTGTAAAATCAAAAAATGTTTATTCTTAAAAGAATTATATTTATAATTATGTTTTTAAATTGTATAGTAGATCGGTGTGTAATCCAAGATTTGGAAGGCATGACGCTCACAAACGTCAAGATACCATGGGTGAAGTGAGTTATTCATCTATTTAATAAAAATTTTATAAATTTATAATATACTAATGCTAATTGCTAGGTTCTGGGTTGCCTAAACAATCAGTGAAGAATTAAATTAATATTTATTGAATATTTGTAAACCGTTAAATATTTAAATTAATACATTTTTGTGCAATCTGGCATAAAGCATAATTTTAATATTATTATTGTTATTATATTTGTAGATTGTACAAAGCGGTACTGATACTTTGAAGTTTAAGTACAACCACGACAACGATTTGTAAGTATATCAATCATAATTTGAAGTTATTCACATTTATTTGATTGGTATTGTTTTTACTTATATCTAGTGTTGATAGCCGTTTCAAAGAATTGATACCTCATCCTGAAGTCGTTGGTAAACTTCAAACTGACAAGTATGGGAACCCTGTGAAACGGGATCTCAAATTCCATCACAGCACTCTATGGTAATAAATACATTTAGAAACTATCAACAGACTGCATTTATAATAATTTTAATCACAATAATTTGTAAATACAAGTCTTAAAAGTTAATTTAAAGTACCTACCTAAATAGGACTAATAGGTAGATATTTTTTAGAGCTATTTATTATTATTTGTACTGAATAACTAGAAGTTTTATTACTATAATTTTTAAAATATGGCTAAGTATATAGTTCATCTTGTTGAATAATAAATCTTAGTTTCATTTTATAAAGTAATTTTTTTTTTTATCGCACTTGCACATTGAAGTTACTATTAAATGTAAAGAGTAAAGATTAATAATGAATAAAATTCTATATTACACTGTAGTACTTATAATTATTGTGTAAAGATGAATTAATTTAAATATGAATATTTAAATATTTAATACTTTTGGTAATTATATATTTGTATTAATATAGTTTTTTATATTGTAATATTCTATTTAAGCCAGAAGCGTATTTATTAGTGCATAGTTAATAAAAAAAAGTAGAGGTTACCATGGCATCATCACTATTCGCCACTTACTAAATATAATATTATACTTTAACTAATGCAAAATTATGTGATATAATTTATAACCAATTRTCCATATATCACCACTAGAAATTCAGCATACCATTGCAAAAGTTTTATTTGAAAGTTGTAGGTTAAGTAACTGAAACTTAGTAGAAAATTTGTAATATAATTTCTAATCATTAAATTTAAAAGTATTATATAGTGAATTATATATATGTGGGTGGGCTACACATAACTTTTTCTTAGTCAAAAATGATTTGTTTTACATAATTTTATATAAATTGTTGTAATATATATTTAGTAAATGGTGATAACCCACCTACTGCACCTAGTAAAACAAGTACCTTATAGATTCTATAATATGGAAATTAATTATTCACTTAGGTGTTTTAAAATTTTTACAAATTCACATTATCTTTTGCGTAAATTATACTGGTACCTAATATATATATTTTAAAATTGTATTTGTTATTCAAATTTATAGTATATTTAGTATTACAGTTTACTGAAAGACTAAGTTATAGCTATAAAATAATTATATATTAGTAAAACTACAAAAATCTTAAATCAATAAAAAAAAATCTTTTTATCTACCTACTGATGAAAGTGATAAAACATAATATATTAAAGTAGTTGGTAATAAACTTATAAATATTAATGATGTGGGATTTCCCTACTATAGGTAGGTATAACACATAAAATTGGTAGACCGCATCTATACTCATATTTAATAGGTATTTATAGTTAAGAGGACGTCTCACCTGCATGTGTTGTCTCCGTCTCACAAGTACGTAACATTGCAAAAACTGTTTCGCGCGGGAAAGAACCGAGAAAGATACAGTTATAACTAAGAAACAAAATTTTCACCACATAAAAAGGAGAATTTTGTCTGTGCAATATCGTTTTTATTTTTTCGATATCACTTATACAAAAAAAATTCTTATTGTTTTATAATATACTAATTTTGT